TCCCTCCCTCCCTCCATTCCACTCTCTCTAAAAATCAATGGGAAAAATATCCTCGGGTGAGGCTTAACAAAAAAAGAAAAAAAAACTTAGCCGCAAGAAGCCCTTCTTAGTAGGTGTCTTCTTTCTCAGGCTCCACAGTACTAATGGACACCGGGTTATAGCTAGCTTTAATCTTTTTTCTTAAAAATAGTTTTTATTATAATATCTCAAATATAGGATTCCTTTTTTGAAATGGTATTTTACTTCTGTACTGTAAGACTTTCCCCCTACCTGCCCCTCATTTTATACCTTAAGTCTGTATACTTTCAAATAAAGTGAAAAGAGAAGCAATTATTCAATCAATGTAAACAACTAAATGGATCTATGTATGCTTAAAAGCAATTTACAACATATACTAGGGTAGATTTTAAATTTTTATATATATTTAAAAGGCTGAACTATATAAATAATTTAGCTCCCAGTTATTTGAAATTTTATAGGGAAGAATATATTGGCAAAAATGCATTATGGTTGATTATTCAGGCTTTCATTCATGTTTGCTACCTGAATATATTTTGGTTACAGCTACATTGGGACCAACATGATGTTGATTTAATTCCAAATGGGACCTCTACACTTGTGGACCAAACCAACAAGTAAGTTTTGAGACCTAGAAGGTCTGCTTTGAATAGAAATAAAATGTTTATATCACTTCACTTTATGACTGTATTTTAGCTTCTCAGATGATCATTTTAGCTCTTTATCTTTTAGAAAGATAAAATGGTTACAGGGTGAGAGAAGGGGAGAAAAGAGTCAGAATTGAATATTTCCTTTGTAGCACTTTTCACTAGTTACTCATTTAACAATGATCTTTGAGCCTCTCTTCTGTACCAGACCTTATTCTAGGTGCTGGAGACATAGCAGTGAAAAGGACAGACAAAATGTGGAGCTTAAATTCCAGGACAAAAAGACAATACATGAATAAATTATTATGTAATAGAATGTCAGATAAGGATGAGTACTCTGAAGAAAATTAAATCCAATTAAGAGACTGGAGAGTTATAGGTGGAGGTATGCTGGAGTCAGCTGGTACCTGCTTATGAGAGCTGATTGTTAAATTTTCAAAAACGTTGAGAGTTTATAGCTTGAAATCAGCCATGATGGGAATATTTACACCACAGAAATTGGCAAATGCTGCCAATGAGCATTCTGTTTCCTTTTGGAAAACTGGTTGTTAAACATTTACCAGCACTCCACTGGTTATAGGGGAGGGAAGAGAGGGGCTGATCTAGATCAAATAGTCCAGGAAAGATGCTCAAAGGGTGGGAGACTATCCTGTTTCTGGTGAATATCTGGTGAAAATACCTCCAGTAGCAGCCCTGCCATCAGGAAATTCTTCATGTAGTGGAGAAGACAGACTTTGCATAAATAATTTTCACATAGTGACGTAAGTGTGTAGGGAAAGAGGAACAGAGGACCAACCCTGAGAAAGTCATATTCATATTGAACTCTAATGAGCGATAGAAGTTGCCAGCAAAAGAGGAAGCATTGCATGCTGTGGCCTACCTCAAGAGACAGTAAGGCCAGAGATTCAGTTGGAAGCGGGAAAAGGCTGTAAAGTAGGGTAACAGTCAGATCATGGAGGGTTTTTTGATCCTGCTGTGGAGGTTGGGCTCAGCCTTTGAGAAGTCTTTGCAAGATTTTAAGCAGGAGAATGACATAGTTTAGTGTTTTTAAAATATCATCCTAACTGCAGCTAGGAAAATGGGAACAAAACGAAGTCTTAATCCTTCTATATTCTCCAAGGTTCCTTCTTCTAGCTGATCAGATGTTTTTAAATCCTGGGGTACTACTGGGTTGTATGCTATGCAGAAGTAATTTACTTTTCTTTCTCAATAGAAATGGTAAAAAGGGCAAAGTCAAGGATATTTTAGTCACTGATAAAGTATATTATTTGCCTTTGTTTGTTTGTTTCCCTCAAGGAATGACTATGTTTCTCAGTGTGTTGACTACATTTTCAACACTTCCATAAAGGCATTTTATGAGGAATTTCAGAGAGGATTTTATAAGGTCTGTGACAAGAGGATACTTAGACTTTTCCATCCTGAAGAACTAATGACAGCAGTAGTTGGAAATACTGATTATGACTGGAAACAATTTGAAAAGGTAGGTAATAGTACTAAGTGCCCCCAATTCTTCTGAACGACATCTATACATTCCCCCTAAAACCCGTTTTTCTCCCTTTTTTTTCTCAAGAATTCAAAATATCTCTCAGGATACCATGAATCACATCCTACTATTCTGATGTTTTGGAAAGCTTTCCACAAATTAACTTTGGATGAAAAGAGAAAATTCCTCTGTAAGTATTACAGTAATAGATGGATTTATTTATTTATTTATTTATTTATTTTTAAATTCTCACTGGAGGATTTTTTTTTCCATTGATTTTTAAAGAGAGTGGGAGGGAGAGAGGGAGGGGGGAGAGAGAGGAAAAAAAAAAACACACAGAACCATCAATGTGAAAGAGATACATCAATTGGTTGCTTCTCTCACATGCCCAGACTTTGGCCAGGGATCAAACCTACAACCCAAGTACGTGCCCTTGACCGGGAATCAAACCTGAGACCCTGCGGTGTGCAGGCCAACACTTGAACCACTGAGCCATGCTGGCCAGGGAAATATATATCTTTTGAAAAATAAATATTATACTTCTTGGTTTAGCTAAAATAAACTTCCTTGTATCTTACTATTATCTTTTCATGTACTGTTGACCCTTGAACAACCTGGGAGTTAGGGGTGCTAATCCCCGACACATACTCAAAGGAAAGTCTGTGTATAACTTTTGACTCCCCCAGAACTTAACTACTAATAGCTTACTGTTGACCAGAAGCCTTACTAATAACAGAAACAATCGATTAATACATATTTTGTTATACTGTATTCTTACAATAAAGTAAGCTACAGGGAATAAAATGATAAGAAAATCATAAGGAAAATCCATTTACGGTATTTATTGAAAAATATCTTCATATAAATAGACCCACATAGTTCAAACCCGTGCTATTCGAGAATCAACAACATGGAATTTCCCCCCAACTAGACCATGAACTCACTGAAGACAAAGACCAAATGTCATGATTTTTCTATGTTCCACACAGTCCCAGGTAATTCTCTCTGCACAAGAGTATTCAATATTTATTGAATGAAGTGATTAACTTCTTCCTTTTCATTTTAAATTTTGGTCTTTCTAAGGACTATCTTAACCAAAGATTATTCCTTTCCAGTGTTTCTTACAGGAAATGATAGGCAGACTGCAAGAGGATTACAAGAAATGAGTATCACATTTCACTGTCCTGAAACTTTTAGTGAACGAGATCACCCAAGATCACTTGTATGTCATAATATTCTGGAACTCCCTAAATATTCTACAATGGAAAGACTGGAGGAAGCACTTCAAGTAGCCATCAACAGCAACAGAGGATTTGTCTCATCTACAGTCACACAGTAATAGTCACCTGGGAGTCTCAGCGAGGCCTCAGACTCCCAGGTTCTCTCATTCTTCAGTTTGGATGTTCTTCTTTAGGTCTAATTAGTACAAAGTGTTGATGATTTTAATTAGAATTAGTAGATAGATGTTGAGATAAGCAATAAAGTGATGAATCAAGATGATATTTTTAATGAATCAACATTTTCTAATCCCTAAACTTGCTATTAGAATATTGGCCTTTTAGTGAATTACTTCCTGAACAATAATTATCATTTAAAAATAAGCTGAATAGCCCTGGACGGTGTTGCTTAGTGGTTAGAGCATCAGCCTGAGCATCAAAGGGTCACGGGTTTGATTCCTAATCAAGGGCACGAACCTGGGTTGCAGGTTTGATCCCTGGCTCCAGTTGGGGCTTGTGCAGGAGGCAGCCAATTGATGTGTCTCTCTCACGTGGAAGTTTCTCTCTCTCCCCCTCCTCCCCTCCCTTTCACTCCCTCTAAAAATCAATGAAAAACATATCCTTGGATGAAGATTAACATATGTGTATATATATATATGCGTGTGTGTGTGTGTGTGTGTGTATGGTGCATCTAATAAACACTGCCTGCAAATATGAATGTTTGAAAAGAAAACCAAAAATATAAATTGATTTTTGAGGCACGTAGATGTACATTTTACATTTTTTAATGTCTCCAGAGTTTTTATTTTAGCCAACTACTGAATAATTTTATTTGAAAATCTAAATGTTAAAGGATCATTCATTCATTAAATAATTACTTATGCTTAATACCATGTTCCAAGAATCATTCTAAATGGGGAAGGGAATGGAGAACTTATTCAGTTTCCCAAACCTATGGAAAAAGCTAGATCCTCAAATCCAAGAAGCAAATTGAACACCTAATTACCTCAACCCAAAGAGGTCTTCTCCAAGGCATATTTTATTAAAACTCAAAATTAATGATGAAGAAAAAATTCCCACGACAGTGAAGGAAAAGAAGAAAGTAACCTATAAAGGAAAGCCCATCAGGTTAACATCGGACTTCCCAGCAGGAACTCTACAAGCCAGAAGAGAGTGGAACCAAATATTCAAACTACTGAGAGAAATTACCAGCCAAGAATAACATACCCAGCCCTGGCAGTATGGCTCAGTTGGTTGGGCATCATGCCATGCACCAAAAGGTTGCTGCTTCAATTCCCATCAAGGGCACATGCTCCACTTGTGGGCTCAATCTCTGGTAGGAGGAATTCTGGAGGCCCCTTATCAATGCTGGGCTCTCACATCGATATTTCTCTCTCCCTCTCCCTCTCCCTCCTCCTCTATCTAAAAATCAATTTAAAAATCCTTAAATATATATATATCCATCAGAGTTATCATTTAAACATGAAGGAGAAATAAAGACTTTTCCTGACATACAGAAGTTGAGGGAATTTATCACCAGAAGACCTCCATTGCAGGAGATACTCAAGGGGGTTATTTTACCTGAAACAGAGAACAAAAGGTCACAACACTACGAGTAAGACCAAAAACAACATAAACAGGGATAATTTGTGACATTAAATTTAATTCATAAAAGGGGAGGGGGTAAATATCTGATTTGCAAAGGAGGGTGGAGGTCAGATGCATTCAAAAGAAAATGGACTACTGTGTGTAATGAAACTTTCTTTTTCATAAACCTAATGGTAACCACACACACAAAAAACTGAGACACATAGCTTAAAAAAAGAGGAAACGGAAGAAGTATGGAATACCACCAAACAAAAACAACAGAAACACAAAGGAAAAGAACCAATGGAGGCACAAAGCTACCAGGAAACAAAAGATAAAGTGGCTATAGGAAATCCTCATACATCAGTAATTACTCTAAATATAAATGGACTGAATTCACCAACAAAGAGACACAGAGTAGCAAATTGGATCAAAAAAACAAAATCCAACCATATGTTGCCTTCAGGAGACACATCTAAGCTGCAAAGACAAAGACTCAAAGTGAAAGGGTGGAAAATGATTTCTCCAAGCAAATAACATCCACAGAAAACCAGGTGTAGCTCTACCTATAGCTGACAAAACAGATTTCAAGATATCAAAAGTAACAAGAGACAAAGATGGACATTATATATACATCCTATCAGGGAGCACCCAAATATATAAAGCAACTACTAACAGAACCAAAGAAGAAACAGACAAAAACACAATCATAGTTGGAGACTTTAATACTCTACTGACAGCTCTAGATAGATCATCGAAACAGAAAATCAATAAAGAAATAGCCTTAAATGAAATAATAGGTCAAATGGACATAATTGACATTTACAGAGTGTTTCATCTCAGAACATTAGGTTATACATTCTTCTCCAGTGCACATGAACATTCTCAAGAGTAGACCATATGTTGGGTCACAATTACTGGCCTCAACAAATGCAAGAAGATTAAAATTATACCAAGCATATTCTCTGACCACAATGCTTTGAAATTAGAATTCAACAGCAAAAAGGAAGTAAAGAAACCCACAAATATGTGGAGATTAAACAACATACTACTAAAAAATGGGTCAAAGAAGAAATAAAAGGTGAGATCAAAAGATATATAGAGACAAACAAGAATGACAGTATGATATATCAGAACTACTGAGATGCAGTGGAAGAAGTAATAAGGAAGTTTATATCATTAAGGCCTATCTCAAGAAATAAGAGAAACCCCAAGTAAACAACTTAACATCACATCCTAAAGAACTAGAAAAAGAAGAACAAAAATAACCCAAAGTCAGCAGAAGAAAGGAAATCATAAAAATTAGAGCAGAACTGAATGAAAGAGAGAACAAAAAGACTATACAGAAAAGAGCTGGTTCTTTGAAAAGATTAATAAAATTGGCAAAACCCTGGCTAGACTCACTAAGGAGAAAAAGAAAAAACTCATATAAACAAAATCAGAAATGAAAGAGAAGTTAGCACAGACATCACAGATCTACAAAGGATCATACTAGAATACTGTGAAAGACTATATGCCACCACATTCAATCACCTACAAGAAATGGATTAGTTCCTAGAAATGTATAACCTTCCTAGATTGAATCATGAAGAATTGGAAAATCTAAATAAATTGATCAGCAGCAAGGAAGTTGAAACAACCATGAAAAACCTCCCAAAAAGTAAAAGTCCAGGACCAGATGACTTCACCAGTGAATTCTACCAAATGTTCAGATTTGATACCTGTCCTTCTCAAACTCTTCCAAAAAAATTGAAGAAGAGGCAAAACTTCCTAACACATTTTATAAGGTCATCATAACCCTGATACCAAAACCTGGCAAGGATAACACGAAAAAAGAAAACTACAGATCAATATCTCTGATGAATACAGATTCAAAAATCCTAAATGAAATACTAACAAATCAAATACAATAATACATTAAAAAAAGTATATCACGATCAAGTGGGGTTCATTCCAAGGGGCACGAGCATGGTTCAACATACGAAAATCAATCAATGTAATACACCACATTAACAAAACAAAGGATAAGATTATATGATCTTGTCAATAGATGCAGAAAAAGCATTTGATAAGATACAACATCCATTTATGATTAAAACATTCAATAAAATGGGTGTAGAAGAAAAGTACCTTAACATAACAAAGGACATATATGACAAACCCTCAGCCAATATCATACTCTGGTAAAAACCTGAAAGTGTTTCCTCTAAAATCGGAACAAGACAATGATGCCCACTCTCACCCCTCTTATTCAACATAGTTCTGGAAGTCTTAGCCAGAGTAATCAGGCAAGAGAAAGAAATAAAAAGCATCCAAACTAGGAAGGAAGAAGTGTCACTTTTTGCAGATGACATGATTCTGTATATAGAAAACCCTAAAGACTCCACCAAAAAACTATTAGAAACAATAAACAAATACAGTAAAGTTGAAAGATTCAAAATCAAAGTGCAACATTCCACTGCTTTCTTGTATAATCACAATGAAATTTCAGTAAAAGAAATGGAGAAAAAAACACATTCCTTTTGCAATTGCAGCCAAAGGAATAAAATATCTAGTAATAAACAAAGGATTTGAAGGACCTATATACTTAAAACTACAAAGCATTATTAAGAGAGATTGAAAAAGACATAATGAAATGGAAAGATATTCTGTGTTCATGGACTAGAAGAATCAACATAGTTAAAACGGCCATATTACTCAAAGCAATATACAGATTTAATGCAATCCCCATCAACACCCTGATGTCATTTTTTAAAGAAATAGAATAGACATTTAAAGGAGGGAAGATGGCGGCCCTGTGAGAAGCAGCAGTGCCCCCGCTCCAGCCACAGACTTGATTTCCTCCTAAAATCCTACATAACCAGCTTGAAAAAAAAAACAGAGAAACATACCTGAGTGGATGAAGTGTGAGTGGGGAGCACTGAGGAACCATCACGGAGTCTGGTAAGAGAGGGGGCCCTTGGAAGGGGGAGTCCCCCTGAAGCCTGTGCTGGGCTCCGAGCCTGAAGGCTTGGAGGCTGCAAAGCCCCACGGACGGCATCCAAAAGTGGGGATCCCACGCCCGGAGGAGAGAGGGGAAGGAGCGCCCCGCGCACAGGGCAGAGGGACCCAGGGGAGCGGTGAGTCCGGGAGGAGACGGCGCCTTCCTAGGAAACAAAGACTCTGGGGGCGGCTGCAACCGGGCGTCTGGTGCTCGGGGTGCCGACCATAGGGAAGGCTGTCCCAAGGCCTGTGGCACCCAAGTAGTGAGGGACCGGAGGACTGCGCTGAGCACCCACACACAGGGACCCTCTTCCTCCCTGTGTTGAGCCCCAGAAAGTGCTGAATCTGCGTGGTGTGGGGGAGGGGAGGGGCCCTCCTGTCCTGAGCTCCCAGGTGCCAAGAGGCTGGGATCTGTGACTGGCCCTGAGGGGCCCCGTGGTGGCTCATGAAGCTGCTCCAGCTTTGCGGTGTGGAGAGCTGCGTGGAACTGACTTTGGGTCCCCTCCCGCTGGGTGCCTTGGAGCAAGGGTGGCGGGACCTTGTAGGGCAGACTCTCTGCCTGAGGGTTGCTTTGTACTTTTGCC